GGAAGGGTAACAAATCGTGCACATTTCACAGAGCTTGACCTGGACACAACAGCAAAAAAACCAAGAAAACCATTCTATTTTAAACTCCTACATCTACTCCTCACGTCACACCATTATGACATCCGCCGCGGCATCCTCCATGGCCACATCATCCTCTATCGCAGGGGGCGCGAGACTGTCCATCTCCCGCAGGGTATATTCCACCAGGTAACTCTCGTCCACGAGCTCGTCCGTCCGCCTGTAGTGCCGCTCAGTGTATACGCGAAGCGCGTTGAGCACCTCCTTGAGGCTGCGCTGGCCCCGCGCGCCCTTGACCGAGAGGTTGGAGAACTTGGACGCCGGGTAGCTGCGGACGAGCGTCCAGAGGATGCGCTGCGCGACGGCGGCCGTCCGCGCGTTGGTGTTCCAGTCGCGCAGGCGGAGGAGCAGCGTGAAGAGCTGCTCGTCGGAGAGCGTGGCGAGGACCTGGTCAACGGCTTTGAGGCCGCAGAGGCTGCCGGGTTCGGGGGTGGAGGTGACGACTGACGTGAAGAGGCTGAGGAGGCGGCCGGGGTGGTTGAGCTGGAGGGCGAGGACGATGGCTTCGCGGTAGGAACCGTGGTGGATGTGGTTTTGGAGCTCCTGCTCCTGCTCGATGAGCTTCTGGGCGGCTTCGGTGGCGGCGGCCTGGGATTCGGCGGTGGTGTCCTTCCAGAAGGTGACGAGGGCGTCGCCGTCGCCCGAGACGACGGTGTTGTCGACCGGGTGGACGGCGAGGGCCCAGATGCGGTCCTCGTGGTTGTCGAGCGTCGTCTCGGCCTCGCCCGAGTTGGCGTCCCAGACTTTGACGAGACCGTCGCTGCCGGCGCTGGCGAACTGGACCTGCTTCTTGCCCTTGCCCTCGGGCTTGGGCATGTTGAGCCAGGCGACCTTGAGGACGCTGTTGGAGTGGCCTTCAAAGGTGCGGATGCATGAGTAGTCATTGAGGCTCCAGAGCTTGACCGTCTTGTCGGCGCTGCCGGTGAGGACGACGCCCTTGCCGGCGACCTGGCCCTCGTCACCCTGGATCGCGGGGCATCCCGCGGGGGCGAACTTGACGGACCACACGCCGCGCCTGTGGCCGCGGAGGATGCCCTGGACCTCGCCCTCGGCCACGGACCAGATCTTGACCATCTTGTCCTGGGAGGAGGAGGCGAAGAGCTGGCTGGCCGGGTGGACATCCATGGCGTTGATGTCCTTGTCGTGGGCTTTGCGGGTGAAGACGGCGCGGGATCCGCCCTTGCGGGTTTGCTGGGGTTCACGGGGAATCTCCCATTTCTTGACGGTCTGGTCCTGAGAGCCGGTGAAGAGGTATGGCGGGGGGTGGCCCAGGGGGTCCTTGAACTGTGCTGATGATTCTTGCGGGGGTTGCTTTGGGAGTGCCACGGCACCGACCGATTCCGTGTGGCCGGTGAAGGTGGCGTAGCATGTGTAGGAGTTGTTGACCGGGTCGACGCGCCAGAGGCGAGCGGTGTTGTCCTTTGCGCCGGTAGCGATCCAGTAGCCGGACCAGTCGACGTCCAAAGACACGATAATGTCGTCGTGGCCCTTGAGCAGCGCGATGTCCTGGCCAAAGTACGTCGCGTCTTCTGAGGAGTCCTTGACCGAAACGATGCGAATGTCCTCGGCGTTGGTCGCCAGCGCAAGCAGAGAGCGGTCGGGCAGGAGGTAGTTGAGATCGATAATGGAGTCGTGGGTTCCGGAGATTCGTCGGAATGGCTCCATGACCGATCCCTCAACGGCATCCTTCTCCGGCACCTTGTAGAGCGCAAGTGTGTGGTCGACCTGGACGCACAGGATAAAGGGGAGCTCGGCGTGCGAGACGGCGCTGACGATGCCCTCGGCCTCGGCCTTCTCCGGCTGGTCCTTTGTGAGCTCGCGGCCCGTGTCGGTATCCCAGATTCGTAGGCAGCCCTTGGCGCCGGCAGAGTACGTCAGGCGGCCGCCATCGACGAATCCAACTGCCTCGACAAGCTCCAAGCACGGCACGACCTTTCTGATCTTCCACGACCGCGCATCCCACCAGATGATTGTCTTATCTCTGCTGGCTGAGACGATGGCCTGCTGTTCGGGGGAGTAGTCGAGGCCCTGGACGTTGGAGACGTGCGAGTCGAGGCTGGCGACGGCAGCGCGCTTGTGCAGATCCCACACCCGTACTTTTCCGTCCTGGCTACCGGACACCAGACGCCAATTCGTTGTCGTTGTCGTAGTCTCCTCCTCGGTCTGTGTCGCCTTCTTCCCCTTCTTGCTTGCGTTCTCATTCGAACGCGCCGCTACTTCAAAAAAGTGCAGAGCCGAGACAAGCACGCTCGGTCCGCGGAAGGTGTGCGTGACGTATCCGCCGGCAATGTCCCAGACCTTGATCGCTCCGTCGGTGCCTCCGGTCGCGAGGAGAGTGCTCGTTCGGTCGACGGCGAGGACGACGACCGGGGTTCCGTGGGGTTTCAGCGAGCGAGTCAGCTTCGCCTCTATCGTTCCGTCTTCGGTGGTCTTGAGGGCGTAGATCTTCATCGCGAGCGATCGGGAGCAGATGATGAGGTGCGAGCCGGAGGGGGTCACTGCAGCTGTTAGATGGTGGGTTCCGTCGGGTACAAAGTATACATACGGGTCAGCGTCGAGATCGTTTCGCCATCCTGACACTAAGGTTAGCCGTGCATCTCTACAGACGTCCCGGGGCGCATACTCCTTCAATCTTTGCCAGATGTTTCCCGTTGGAGGGGTTGGTGAGGATGGCGTCCTCGCCGAGGGGTGTTGCGAGAATCTTAGCGCCATTGTCCAATGCGACGGAGCCGCCGGTGAAGATGGGCCGTATGACCCGTTCGGGCTCGAACGTCGTCTTGAGGGGCTGTTTGCTCGCCATCTTGTCGGTCTATCGAAGCGGTGCAATCGGTCGCGACATGCGGCAAGCAGCGGTTCGTCCCAGATTTTTTTTTTCGTCTGGCGGGATGATGCTTATCGATAGCGCTATCTTATCGGACCCGCTTTCGTGCAGGAGCTCCTGTCTCCAAGACCACTTCAAGCCTGGAGCTTAGGATCACCTGCGATCGCAGACTTGCATCTTCAACCTGTGAATTAATTCCAATCTACCTAGAAGATCCTGAGCACTCGTTCGGCCCATCCTCCACCGCCCATGGGCCTTCCACCCACCACTCAACATGACGAGACTCGGTCCATTGACCGCGCAGGCCTTGGTACGATTGTCCCCAACCCACCCCAAGCCTCACTAACGCCCCCAGGGCCGCTCGCCATTTGACGATGTGGTCGATGGCGAAGGCGAAGACGACCCGCATGCGCCGACCCAGCAATACGACAACCGCGGACGACCGGTCAACCCTGAGACGAAACGGATGAACCGCGACATGGTGCGCTCCCACAACGAGGTGATGCAAGTCATTGGCGTCGCCGAGCCGGACAACACGCCCTCCACGGCCGAAGTCGACTCCGTGCGACGATACTTCAACTACGAGGATGCGGTGGGCACGCGGCTTCTGCGTTTCGGCCGCGCGCTGGAGATTGCCGGCGTCTGGGGTATCAACGGCATGCGACTGCGCATTCTCCTATACAGGCGGTATGCCGACATTTCCTTCTTTGAGCTCTTCCAGCACGAGCGGAGCCAGCGGTCGATATCGTCCGCTCTCCTGATAGGTCTGCCGACGTTCCTCGGCGGCCACGTCTTCAAGATGGCCACCTACTGGTTCTACCCGTACCCGCGAAAGAACAAGTTTGTCAACACGGCGCTGTCGTACATCCGGGTGCACCTTCAGCTGTATGTCTTCCTCCAGAGGCTTGACATCATCCCGTCTGCGAGATGGTTCCCCTCGCTGAGCTTCTTCATCCCGGGCTCGCCGTCATCACCCATCGCAGCGCCGGCGCCGCCAAATGACTTTAGCCCATCGTCGCTGGTGCAATATGCCGGCGCGTGGTGTGTCAACTCGATCCCCTTTATTTCGTACGTCATCTGGGGCCAGATCTGGACGGAAGTCACAGGTCACCTGTGGCAAGAGTTCTACGGACGACTGCCGAATACTGTGCACCACCGCAAGCCTCCGCCGCCGCCGCCTCCACTACCGCCGGTAACGATCCCGGAGACCCCGGAGCCGGTTCCCGATGTGGACCGGCCACAGCCCGAGCCCCTCTCTGAACTGAGGAGCGAAGACATCCTCGAGGACGTACCCCCGGAAGCGGAACCAAGCGACACGCCACCCGTCCAAGCAGTGCGCCGACCAAGCGCCTTCTCAGCTCGGGGAGAAGACTACGGCAGTGACGACGAAGAGGACGGAGGCATCAGCGCGACGCTCATCAGTTTCGACGTGGAAGCGACGGACTCAACCGATGCGCCTCCCGGGCTCTGGTCCGCCGAGTTGCGGCCAAGCACGGGTCCCGAAGGTTCCGGATACGGCGCCGCGATCCAGTACATGGACACCATGCTGACCAGGCTGCCGGCGTGTCTGGCGTCGGACATCTTCACCGTGATCTCGGGCTACGTCCTGGTCTCGCCATACGAAGCCGTCGCTCTTCGCTTGGTGGCGAGGTCCTACCGCGAGAGGATGGGCCTACCCACGTTCGACATCCACGACACCAATATCTTTAGCGGCATGACGCTGCGGGGCGTCACCAACTTCCTCGGGCTGGAATTTTTGCACCTGGTGATTGCGGGTGAGCTGTGGGCTCTCATCACGGGCCTTGCGCAGTGGTTCCACATTACGGAGGAGGAGTGGAAGCTGTGGAACGAGATTGAGGAGGCCGAGGCTGCGGAGGAGCGGAGGCGTCAGGGGCAGATTTGAGGGATGGGTATTTGGGGGTGCAAAGTCACCGGGATGGTTTGGCGTCTGGCGTATGCAAAACAAGATACCTCAAGCACAGTAGTCTTTTTAACTGGATCGTTCGTAACGTTCGTTAAATTTGGGGGTATCAACAGTGCACCGACATGTTCTTCGCCGCTACCGGTCCACACTTCGCGAGACTTCTCATCCATAGCTAGATCATCTCTTCTGCTTGCCTTTCCCCTTCCTGAGCTTCTCCGCCTTTTGCTCCTCGACGAAGCCGCGGACAATGTCGAGCAGGTCTGGGTTCTTGCGGGCCAGCAGGACGACGTCCTCCGTGTGGACCGTTGATCTCCGCGCGTGCCGACTGAAGCTCTCTAGGTCTGTGGCAACGGACTCTGGTGGGCTGTCAGCATGGGAGACAGATTAGACACAACATGGCTAAAGCTCACCAATCTGGGCCCAGACCATTTCGGTCAGCGCGCCAATGTACTGCGGCGTGGCGTTGCAGTTCTGCTTGATTGATTCCTCGTCGACAATCTTGCCGACTGCAAACCAGAGGGCGGCCTTGAGACGCTGGGCAGTTGTTAGTGATGGTTTGTGCGGGCTGGATAGGGGAGATGGGTACCTCGCGCTCGTCTTCGTTGGACATGTCTGCCATCTTGACTCTCCCACTTTACGCGACGGACGCGTCGCGGGGTTCTTGAGGGTACCGGGGAGGCTGGGGAGAATCAAGAATCACTTGGCCAGGTATGAGAGTTACGGCAGATCAACACGCCAGCTCAGTCAAGGTTTCTTGCGAGGCACTCGGTCTGACTATCTGTCGACGATGGCGATATACTGCTCTAGGGACCTGGACATGTCGTCGGGGATCGGGAGGATCACATGATGTCGCGCCCCTTTCGCGAGGGTGATGACTAAGCTTTCTCGGCTGGGAGCCTCAGCAACGGCTTCCGCCATCATCAGAGATATGGGAAGGCTACCGCTCCATCGTACCACCGGTCTCAAGGCCTTGATGAACAGGCAGCTAATGGAAGGCACTTTAAAGAAAGGTCTCTTAGTCACCGGTGGATTGGCGCTGACAGAGGGCTCTGAAGCATTGCCCATCTGCGAATCCTTGGGGATCACTAACGGAACACGCTGTGACATCACTGGACGAGCCCCTGTAGGACCCCTGGACCGACCGCTGAGCCTCCACTGTCCAGCGAGCTTCTCTATTGCCGTGCCCTCAATTGGCCAAAGTCAGCGGGCTCCTTCAGGTGGGGCAGCGCAATTTTGACCGCGCGGGCCGACCAGTTCAACGTCGCGATATTTTCTCTCGGCCGCGACCATCTTCGTCTCTGATTCTTTCCGTCGTCGTCGCTTCGAGAAATTCATCAGAGACCAACTATCCTGCGTTCTCAATCAACCACTCTACGTTCGATCATCCAAACGAGCGCACCTGCGCACTCCCCAACCTCTTATCAAAAGACAGACCCACGGAAACCACCCCACCACCGCCAAGATGTCCGCCGTCATCAACCTCCTGAACACAATCTGGACGCGCTTCAGCACCAACCTGCGCGGCACCCTCGAGGGCATGTCCGCAGAGAAATGGATCCGCCTCGTCATCATCGTCGGCGCCTACTGCCTGCTCCGCCCTTACCTGATGAAGCTGGCCGGCAGCTCGCAGATGAAGCAGCACGAGACCAAGCCCGAGGACGAGTTCGACGGGCCCAAGGCAAAAGTGCAACCCAATACGCTGCGCGGGCAGGTGGATATCCCCGAGGATAGCGACGATGAAGGCACTAGCCAGGCCACGGGCGCGACGACGTCGACCGACTGGGGAAAGAAGGCGCGCAAGAGGCAGCGCGACGTGCTCAAGAAGATGATTGATGCTGAGGAGAAGAGGCTTGCTGAGCTGCAGGAGGATGATGAGGACAAGGACATTGAGGAGTTCTTGGTGAAGGAGTAGGGGGTTTGATGGTTTGGAGCGGTTGGAGATGGCGTTTGGGCTCTTGACGGTTAATAGCATCATTAATACCAATGTCGGTGCCTCTGTCTATGGAACGCTTCGTCGTGATAGAGCATCTGGTCATCTTCTTGGAGAGATCCTCGAGGATGGAACCGTCGATGGGACGCCACACGATGTCTCTTGCAGTTTTGGCCTGTCGATGCGACAATTTGGGCTCAGAAACCCAAAGCATCGTGCCCGAGAATGACTCTCTAAATGCTACCAGTTTCTACCCCTTCGCCAGTGATACACCGTTCTCAGCATTCCATTGCTTTACTTCCCGACTTCAAGTCATCCCGCTTGCGCAGTCATCAGAGATTCAACTCTCTGGTCGACTTCATCGCCAGCCCATCCAAGCAGAGCCTCGTCAATCTGGCGACCTTGCTGAACACAACGCTAGGACCAGCTGTCCGAGACAGGGATGACAGTTCCACTAAACTTTCGTCCCCTGTGACCTCCACTTGACCAATGCACCTCGACTGCACCTGCCCTGAGAAATCGACTTTCTAAACGCGTCCCACGGATCAGGATCCAAGAATCTTTCTTGATCATCACCACCGTTTTTTTTTCTTGGCCCAGCTTCGCCCCTTCGATGGCAATTGGGCACTGGCGACGATACACAATTGATTGTCCCTCGCCGAGCGCTTGATTGCACCGGCTCAACAAACGCATGCGACGAACCGATTGCGACAAACGCCAGGCGCAACTGTGAGATGGCTTCCGCACTCCCAGCCGCCATGGCTGCTGCCTCATCCATCGACCCGGCGCCGGCGACTTCGACCGATTCCCCTCCTGCCTCCAAGAAGTTCAAGGCGTCCGACCTCCCCCTACCATCTGCGACCCGAGCCGCCATCGAATCCCTGGCCCACAGCTTCAAGAAGAAGGGCGGATACGACGCCATTCGCAAGGAGGTCTGGGACAAGTTTGCAGCTAGCGTGAGTCTCTTCTGGCATGTACTTGCGTGACGAACGACTGACCCGCGCAGGATTACGAGGCCCAAGTCACCAAAGCCATCCTCGAGGTGGCCGAACAGGAAGTCGAACGCAACCCCGGCCAGCTCCTTACCCTCGACCGAGGCAAAGCTGCCGCCCTAATTGACGGTGCTCTCGAGCGCTCTGGCGTGTACCAAAAGGCAGAGCAGGTCATCACGCAGCTCATCGACAGGGCATCGATCGAGGAACGCATGCGACAGCTGCGCCGCGCCGACATTGGCGAAGACGAAGCTGCGGCAGAGCAAGAGCGGGGAGCCAAGACAGACGAAGACTACCACGCAGAGACGTTGGCGAAACAAGCTGAGCGCGAAAGAGTCCGGGAGGAACTGAGACAAAAGGAGGCTGCCATTGAAGAAGAGAAACGCAAGATTGCACGGGAAGAGCGTAAAAAGGTCGAAAAGGAACGAGAAAAGGCCGAGGAGAAACGCAAAGCCGAACGAGACGCCAGACGGGCTGCCAGAGAGAAGCTTCAAGCAGAACGCGAGGCCGAAAGAGAAGAGCGCCGCCGCCAACGAGACAAGGAGCGGAGCCGGGAAAGGGAGCGGGACCGCGACCGCGACCGAAGCCGGAGCCGCAGCCGTAGCCGCCGCAGAGATAGAGATCGCGACAGAGACCGTGATCGGGACCGCGACGAGCGCGACCGTGAGCGTCGGGAAGAGCGAGATCGCAAGCGCAAGGAGCGGCACGAAGAGACCGAGGAAGCCAAGCAGAAGCTTTCCCAGGAGCAGCTCGAGAGACTCGAACAGGAAGCCCTTGCGGACCTCCTCCGAGAGAGCAAGCGCAACACGGCAAAGCAACCCGAACTGGAGATTGACGAAGCGCTGGCACCACCTCCTAGGAAGCTGGCTCCCGCGTCTGCCATCATGCCCTTTAAGAAGGTTGCCTCCTCGCGAGACTCGCAAAAGGCCGCCGAGCCGAAGAAGGCGGTAGAAGTCAAGAAGGAAGCACGAGATGCCAGCGTCGCTGCGACACCTAAAGCCGATGCACCAGCTGTCAAGGCTAGAAGTCGCAGTCGGTCACAGGCGACTGCCAAGGACCGCGAGAAGGACAAGGAAGGCGATGACGATAGACGACGCACGCGAGATGATGACGACCGCCACAGACGTGATCGTCGGTCTAGGTCTCCTCGACCGCGTGATCGATCCCGCGACAGACGTGACAGGTCGCGGTCAAGAACCCGACGCGATCGCAGCAGGTCTCGTCGACCCGAAAGGCGGGAGAGGACCCCCTCGCGTACTCGATCCAAGACGCGCCGTGATCGAAGCAGATCTCGCACACGCCACGACCGCCGTGATAGGAGTCGGTCTAGGTCTCGCGACCGGAGAGACCGCGTTCGCGACAGACGAGATCGTAGTCGCTCACGCCGCCGCGAGAGAAGTCGGTCGCGGGCTCGCAACGATCGCAGGGATCGCAGCCGTTCTCGTGTGAGGGCCGACCGCCGAGACAAGTCGCGGTCCCGCTCTAGGACCCGCCGAAGCAGGTCTCCACGGCCTGACCGGCGCGAGTCGATCCGACGTGACCGCAGCCGCTCTCGCCCTCGCCGGGATCGCTCTTCTGACCGAAAACCTTCTGAGCGCGATCGCAAGAGTCGGTCTCGCTCGAGACACCTTTCTCCCGTGGTGCGATCTACTCCCCGGCTGGAACGCGACAAGGACGAAAAGGAGGCCACCAAGATGGTCGAGGTCCGCAAGCGCGAAAAGGAAGCCAAGGCGTATCTTGCGGCGCAGCGCGAGGCCCGAGAGAAGGGCATGCCGGTTCCCGGGATCGACGATAAGAGAAGCACGGGGGATCGCTCACCTGAGGCGAAACGCAGGCGCGACCTGGATGAGATCGATCGGTACGTGCCTCCCGGCCGAGACCGAGAGCGGCCTCATGATCTAGCCCGGGACGATGAGCGGCGTCGGAGTCGCTCGCGCAGCAAAGATCGCGAGCGGGATAAGGACAGAGACCGCGCCAGGGACAGAGATCGCGATCGTGATAGGGACAGGGACCGAGACCGGAGAGACAGAGACCGCGATAGGGATCGGTCGAGAGATCGCTCTAGAGATCGACGGGACCGGGAGAGGGCCAGGTCGAGGGATCGGGATCGGGATAGGGATAGGGACCGTGATCGTGATCGCGACCGTGACCGCCGCAGCCGGAGAGACCGCAGCGTCTCGTCGCGGAGGGATAGACGGGATCGAGACCGGAGCCGGAGCCGCCGAAGGAGTAGGAGTCGCTAGTTACCTCTGCGCCCGGCGGGGATGGTTATGGGATGGGACTGTGAAAAATAGGGAGGGTACGGCATCGGGTCGTCTCACGTGGATAGGAGTTATGGAATATCATCACATGGCTCACTATGGCATACGGCTGGGGCGAAAGCGTCGATAGCATCAGTAGCATCAATCGCAGTGACAGCTCGCGGGAAGTGCGCCTCAAAGTGAAGCTCGCCTTTCCCGTGGAAGGATGTCGTCAGCTGTGGTGGACATGCGGCAGCCTTCTGTATCTGATACGACCGCCGCCTATCCACAACTCTCCATGTAAACACGGCGCCGAACGGAACCCCACAAAAGCGGCTTCGGCCCGGACAAGCAACCGGAAACCCGGAAGCAACAGGGATCCCAATTTCCAAACCGCCCACGCAGCGTGTAGCTGTCATGGACTCACGGGGAATGGAAACGCGACGGGCGGTGCATCCGAGGGACCCGGAACCCTGCACCATCCTGCCTATGCTTGCGCCGCCAACGCCAATGCTTCCACAGGACCTGGGTTCGGAGGCAGAGATGACGGGCCACGAATGCCGTCTTTTCCCTCCCCTTCCAGACCACAGTTTCTCGGACAGCCGCGAGCTCAACCATCCCCTTTGAAATCTTTTCAAATTCCCAAAATTGCCAGATTCTAGTTGAGAAGAAAGACGAGGTGTTTGGACGACAACGAGCCAGCTAGCATGACTCAAAGGTTCTTACGCACAGTCTGCTCATCTGCCCACAGCGAAGATTCGGGCAGAACTTTTTCGCTTTCGCGAAAGCCCCATTATCTACGATTACACGCTCTTTCCATGCCGCCGTGAGGCGTAGCGCTTCAAACTTTCTCACCGCAAATTGGCCACCCGTTTCCCATACACCCCGTCGGGGAACCTACACGGGGTGACGGGGTACCCGTTCCCAGACGTGCCAAACGCCTTCGTCCGCGGCAGTTTCGAATATCGTAGGTTTTTAGCTCTCTCCAGCTCGTTACGGCCGCCTTCTATGCCACGCTGCTACTCTACACTCCCAAGATAGAGAATAGCAAAACTCTGATAAGGCGAACCCGGCTTCCAAATCCGTCCGGCGTAGTAATCATTCCCGATCCCAGCCTGGCACCGAAAACCCTCGCACACATCACAATAAGGTTTTCCCAAACGCACTATAGTAAGCAGCCCTCTTCCCTGAATAGACTCACGCAGCCACGCATCACAATGAACAACGTCCAGGGTCCAGCCTTGCTGTCATACTGCGTACATCGTTTGCCCCCGTTTGACAGCCAATAGTGTGTGCCGGTGGGCGGGCCCTGTTCAGATTGCCAGAGATCTGTGAGGGCAGCGACTGAGCAAGCCAGCTCCCAAAACCACGTCTCAGAAAAGGTCCCGGCGGTTCCGTCTGGGGAAACTTTAATCTAGCTTCGCGCAATTCGCAAACATCCCCATCTGAACTCTGTTCTACGGAGTGCTCCGGTTTCTTCACGCAAAGTTGCCGGCGGACACGCAATTTTGCTATGCAAGTCCGCTGTGCGCGCGCAGCTTCACTACTCTCACTTGGGGCCCTTGGCATGCCGCCTAGAGGGGCTGACCCGAAGATGGCGCCACGCATACTATATCCTTAAGGCAGGTGTTTGACAGCTTCATAGTTTGATGAAGATGGGCGGCCGAATAGATTGGAATGCCGCGAAATTAATAGTACAAAAGAAGAAAAGACGGAAAGAAAAAAAAATAATGTCTCTGTAGGTCCCTCCCGCGGGAACACAGGTATCCAACGCCCCAAACGCCTGTAGTCCAAGTCCTGCCCACCCATACAGCGTCTAAGGCGCGGGCGTTGAGGTGGCCTTGGGGGTGTAGTCCCTAAAGTTGGCATTGAGCGGATCGCGGTCCAGCAGGTACTTGAACTTGTCCGAGTTCTTCTTGACGTAGTCTGGCACGTCGTGGTTCTCCTCGATGCGGTCAAAGTTGGACTCGCCTCGGCCGAAGCTGTGTAGTGTTAGTCAGAGTCGTCAAAAGTCAGAGACGCCACTTACATGTCGTGACCGCGGCGGGCCACGGAAACAATCCAGTCGGGGTCCTTGAACTCGGGCTTGTTGAGCTCGGCGTGGGAGAAGGAGTTGATCTTCTGGGCCATCTCCTCGACGGTGCTGAAGCAGTAGCTGCAGTGCCAGCCGCCCTGGTTGAAGTGGTGGTCGTTTGCGTTGTGGCGGAGGTCGTGGGGGAGGACGGTGTCGACGCCGCGGTAGACGGTGGCCTGGGGGTGGTTCCAGTCGTTGCGGGAGAGCCACTGGTAGGAGTAGTAATAAATCTTGGAGTGGATGGAGACGCGGGGCGGGATCTCGCAGTTGCGCAGGGCGCGGAGGACCTCTGGCTTGGGGATCTCGTCCACGTCGGAGACGATGAGAATATCGTCAATGGAAGCCTGCTGCTCGCCCTCGAGCGTGGGGATGACCTGCTCATACATGGCGTTACGGCTCTTGGCCTCGCGGTCCCAGGTGCTGCTCTCCTTGAGGGCCTCGAGGTCCATCTCGCGGAGAATCATCTTGTGGTGCCACGGCTTGAAGAGGTCCCAGTTCTCCTTGATGTACAGCGGCTTCTGGTTGTCGGTGAAGGTCAGGGCCGACTCGAGAATGACAAAGTAGTCGACGTAGGGAGCCATCTGGCCGAGGCGGACCTCGAGCATCTCGACTTCGGTGTTGATGAGGAGCAGGTCGTACACCTTGCGCTTGCGGACCAGCTCCGTGTTGGCCGGCTTCAGGCGGAAGTGGTCACAGTACTCGACGGCCTTTGCGGAAGGGAGGACCTCGCTGTTGCCTGCTTTGGCGAGGCCATCGTAGGGCGTGCTGTTGGGATGTGTGATCTTGCGGGCATGCTCGGCCACCTCTGAGTGAAGATCGAGACGCCAGACGAGCCAGATGAAAACGAGGGAGGCAACCACGGCCAGATACTTGATCTGGTGACTTGATGTTGGTTTGTTCATCATTTTGCTGGGTATAAGCACAAGTGACCGGAAGAAGATGAAGGAAAGGATGCCCCGAGAGAAACCGCTCAAACCTTGAGCTGCAAGATGAGCAAGACCACAGAGAAGAGAAGATGGGGAACGGCAAACTATCGGCCAAATCTTGCGAGCAGTGAAATAGAAAATGGGCGAGGTGAGGGGTACAAGCTGAACTTGTTGAACTCTGCGAGGGACACAAAGTCGGCTGGCGGTTGGCCTGAGCTCTCTCAAAGTTCAGTCTGAGTCGCCGGTCTCGAACATTTCAGAGGACAATCCTATAAGTGTCTCGCCTCCGCTAAAAGGCGTCGTCCGTCATGCGTGTACATTTCTAAGCCCGCCGAGCTGAGGTCCGCCCTTTGATAGTCTGGACAGGGGTGGGCGTTATTTGCTGTGTTGGAACCCTTTGGGCCCTAGGGGCCATGCCATTCGAGAACGTGATAGCGGGAATGCAATCACCGAACGCAGTGCCTGTGGCGGACAAGGCGATGCCGCGATTGACGCCAAGATGGGCCAACAGGCAGCCCAACAGACAGCCGCAGGAACGTGTAGACCCGCGATGGCACGAGACTATCACGACAGTATCCATATGTAGACGGGATGAGCGGACGGCTAAAGGGAGGTTGACGTGCATCAGACCCTGGATGGGTGTTGGGATGAGCATCTTGGGCGGCACTGGCACGCAGATGCTATTCGCACGCATACTTCCGGCAGGGAGGACGCGCCGCTGCAGTGCGAATGTCCTCATCCAAAGGCGATGCAGGGGGCGGCCATGCCAGCTTGGCGCAAAGATAACGACAGTCGACACTTGTCAAAGATCCCTTGATCTGCCCTAGCACGCCTAGCCTTCCAGTCGTCTGGGTATGGTTTGTGGACCATTGCCTGTGGCCCATGGACCAAGCCCTGTGGTTGCAAGCGGGACGGTACGGGATCCTCGGGGAGCGAAGTACCCCTGTCCGAGGTCTTCAGGTCTTTGGGAAGTTCGCCGTGAGCAGATGTGGGCTTGCAGCTGGAGAGCGAAAGAAAGAGAGGCGGCGAGTCACAGGCCAGGGTGGTAGACTGGGCTTGCAGGATGGCGGGTGCGCTTTGTGATGATTTGGTGTTGTGTTCTGAACACATTTCGGCGGTGGCCCGAGATGTCTTGATTGACGTTCCGCTAGTCTGATGATGGGCCTCACTAATCGCCCATCTACTCGTGAATGGTCTCCAGCGCGGTGGACAAGTACCACGCGACGACAGCCCACATGCCCAGAAGGATATTGCGACCAAGGCCGGTCTGACAAAGAGAAGATGGGCTGAACGGAGCACCATAGTGCAAAGAAATCGAAAGCGTCGTCGGCATTGGGTTTCCCTTTGGTTTCCCTGGAGTTACACAGCACGCGTTGGGTGTTCTGTCTTGGATCCGAGAACCGGGTCGAATTGTGGTGGCAGCCAAGGGAGTTGAGTTCTCTCCCGCATTCCGTTGGTGTTGGAATGCGGATACGGAGCGATGAAGCATCACATCGTGGTTGATGATGGTGTTGATGGGCGAGAAGCCGTGGGTGATGCAAGGGAGCGTGGGGGAGATGAGGCCACTAGAGAACTTGGCGGGCGCCTTTGGCTTTTCCAGCGATCCCTTGGTTACACGAATCGGTTATGCAGAAAGTGGACAAGACATTGTGTGCCGTTTTGTGCAACCTCGCTTGGTGTTGCTGGTGTTGCTGGTGTTGCTTATCTAAGATGCTTATCTAAGATGCTTATCTAAGATGCTGACCTAAGGTGTATGTACTTGTGTCATGTACCTCTGGATGCACCATGGCATGGCGCCAATGCAGGAGATGGAGCCAAGTTTTATGCTTCCCCTGGCCTCTGAGCTTAATTAAAACATGACAGGCTGCGAGCAGCAATAGACGGCCAACGGCACAGGCAGCGCCCCAGCACCAACTCGTCAATCCGCTGCATCGCGGGGCCGAGCCAACAAACTTTCCCCTTGATCATTGCCTTCATAGGAACGCACCGGACAGAGTAAAGACCACAGAACAGAGACTAGAGGTGTTTCCCCTTCCCTCGCGTTACACGACCCCCCTTGGCTCGCCGTTGTGTCTTGCATTGTGCCTTTGTCTCGCCTTGCTTGCCAAAGTCCCAAGTCCGCCGGCACTCATCTCAAGCTTTCGCTCCTTGACTTCTTCCCCCTTCTGATCATCACCACAACTCCCGCTGTCCAACTCTCCTTTCCTCATCCGAACACCCTCCACTCTCCCTTGGTCCCCTGAAAGCCTCGAGGCAAATTGCCTGCCACAAGGTTCATTTGCAAATTCCATTGCGCGACACGTTGCTCTTTTGACTCGTCTCTGCGGTCTACCTATGCAAAGTACAATCCGGACACAGCATCTCTCTGGACAATTAGCAACTCGTTAGCAACTCGTCAGTGAACCGGCCGTAACTGTGGCATCTACAGCTTCATCTCCTCTGCGACTGCCAGAAACCAGACCGCACCCAACATCTCCAAACTCCCAGACTGCAACCAACGTCAACTCTCGCAACTCCAACACCCCATCCAACCAGTCAACCGGCAACCAACTAAAGACAAAAGACAGGGGTCGCTCCCTCCACGTGCCGGCCGCCCGACTTTAGCGCCTCCTCCCCAAAGCCCCCCCTTCTCCGCCAGCCTTCTTCAGGCCCAGCTACGACCAGTGGTCAGCCCAGTCCAATAAGGTGCCGTCCTATTTCGTACCATCGCCAGGTACATTGCAGCCAGCAGAAAATACGAGAAAACCCGCTGCGGAAGGGGGCTCATTGACACCAAAGGACCTCGACGTACCGAGTACCAGGCACCAGTCCAGCAAACGGCGCAGCGCTTCAAACATCCGCCTGCCGCCACACACCTTGCAGTCTTCACTTCTCTTCCTTCGTCTCTCTCCGTGCCACTCTCGCTCTCGCCTTTTTGTCACCTTGTTGACCTGCAAGGCGGTTCGCATTTTGCATCCTCCTCTCCTCCATCTTTTCTTCTCCCGTCTTTCCTTGTCGCTGTTCTGTCGCGTCGCTGCACTGCATCTCTCATGCCTTCCGTCTGACGCAACTGTAACAACCCCCATCCTGTCCTTCCCCCCGACGAACCCGGCCCACCACCGACTCCAGTCCCGTCGTCCGCCGCCGTCTCCGTCGCCGTACCCTCCGATCATCTGTCACTTGGCTTCTCGACTTTGTTGCTTGTCACCCCTGTCACAACACCATCACCGCGCAACCATGAGCGAGCTGCCAACCACCGAGAAGGCCGTGGGCTCCAAGGCTCTTCACCCAGCCTTCTTCATCGCGTGCGTATCCCCATCCTCAGCCTCGCCGGGCCTCACTAACACTCCCACAGGAGCTGGATCTTCTTCTCCAACTTGACCATCCTCTTCAACAAGTGGCTGCTTGACACGGCCGGCTTCAGTAAGCACCTTCTACCCCATTATGTTGACCGTCACTAACCACCCACAGAATACCGTACGTCTCACCAGCCCAAACCCTCACTGCTCCCCACTAACATGCCCCAGCCGTGATCCTCACCTTCTGGCACCTCGTCTTCTCCACCCTGGCAACCCAGGTGCTGGCGCGCTTCACCTCCCTCCTCGATGGCCGCCACAAGGTCAAGATGACGGGTCGCGTCTACCTGCGCGCCATCATGCCCATCGGCGTCCTCTACTCGGGCTCCCTCGTCTGCTCCAACCTCGTCTACCTCTACCTCTCCGTCTCCTTCATCCAGATGCTCAAGGCCGCCGCCCCCGTCGCCGTCCTCTTCACCAGCTGGATCTGGGGCGTCGCCGACCCCTCCATGAAGACCTTCTACAACATCCTCCTCATCGTCGGCGGCGTCGGCCTCGCCTCCTTTGGCGAGATCGAGTTCTCCTGGATCGGCTTCATCTTCCAGATGGGCGGCATCATCTTCGAGGCCATCCGCCTCGTCATGATCCAGGTCCTGCTCAAGGGCGACGAGAACGCCCAGAAGATGGACCCCCTCGTCAGCCTCTACTACTACGCCCCCGTCTGCGCCGTCATGAACTTCTTCGTCGCCTACTTCAGCGAGTTCAGCAAGTTCAACGTCGAGGACTTCAACAAGGTCGGCTTCACCATGCTGCTCCTCAACGCCAGCGTCGCCTTTGCCCTCAACATCTCCAGCGTCTTCCTCGTAAGTGCCGTCTCTGTACTCTACCGACCCCTACTGACAGAAACCAGATCGGCAAGACGTCAGGCCTCGTCATGACCCTCACCGGCATCCTCAAGAACATCCTCCTCATCGTCGTCTCCGTCCTCATCTGGCACACCAGCATCACGGCCCTCCAGTTCATCGGCTACGCCGTCGCCCTCTTCGGCCTCGTCATCTACTCCACCGGCTGGGACCAGCTCAAGGCCTCGAGCGCCGGCGCCATCACCTGGTCCCGCGGTGTCTGGAACTCCCACGCCCTCGACGAGGGCCGCCTCTCGCCCCTCCTCCGCCGCGCCATCTTCTTCGGCCTGCTCACCCTCATCGCCCTCATGGTCGTCATGGGCTTCGCCTACAAGGGTGCTGCGGCGCCGGCGGACTGGTTTGCCAAGGTGGGCGCCGTCAGCGCCTAGATGTGTTGACGCTTCTTTTTTTCCTTTTTTCCATCATCAAAGCCTGGAGTTTTGGGATAGCGCGTCGTGTACAAAGAGAATATTGGGATCAGAAAATCATGGATTCGTGGCGGGGTTGATGTTTGGTTTTTTGAACGCGCGGGTTTGGGGTGGTCTTTGGGTCTAGGCCGCCCGGTGTTGTAATATTGTATATCATGAAGCAGCATGCATCACAGGCACAGCTTTAGAATACATGATCTGAACGACGTGCCTCCCGTCTCCGAACCCGCATGACAAAGTAGCGTCTACCGAACTAGAAGCAGCATCGCGATCCATTGACCTATCACAAGCTTCGCAACCTGCAGCCAAGACTTACTAAACTATGGAGATCCAACCCGACGACCGCCCATCCCTCGCAGATCGCGTGTCATTGGATTCGCGCTTTGAAAGAAGCACCTTTCCTCAACGACATTCAGAGACAGAAGCGACCCAACCAAGCTTTACACCCCGGGTCTCAAGACCAGTCCCTCAAGATGAACTTCACATCCACCCTCCTAACCAGCCACGAAACCCTCTACCGCGCCTCCACAACAGCAACCTTCCTCGCCGCCGCCGCGCGCGGCAAAGTGCCCAAATCGATCCTCGGCCGCTGACTCGCAAACGACAGGCTCTACATCCACGCGTACATCAAGGGCGCAGGCCGGTTCCTCGCGCTGCTGGACCTCCCTGACGTCGTCGAGTCTTCTTCCCGTCACGATGTCTCTGGTCACGATGCTGGCTCTCCCGCAGTGACGGACAAAGCGGCAGACAGAGCGACGGCAACCGTGACAGAACGACTCCTCAACTGGCTCATCGACGCGCTCGTCAACGTCCGCCGCGAGGAGAGATTCTTCATCGACGTCGCCGCCCGCTTCGGTATCGACGTCAACTTGCCCACCGCGCCCACTTCCGAGAGAGGCAGCAGTGCCCGCCGGCGGGTAAAGGACGAAGACAAAAACGCAGGCCTCCTCGCCTTCGAACGCCTCTTCACCTCCATCGCCACCGCACCTCCTCGCAGTGTCCTCCTCCCCTGGCTCGCCCCCGCCGTCCTCTTCTGGGCGACGGAGAAGTGCTACCTCGAAGCCTGGTCCGGCGCGAGGGACATGCTTCCTTGGTCCGTCTCTGCTACCTCTGCCTCTGGCACCTCTGGAAAAGACACGGCCTCGGACTCGGACGGCGGCGCCCTGCGGACAGAATTTATCCCCAACTGGAGCAGCCCCGCCTTCAGAGCCTTCGTAGACGAGCTAGCCGCCATCGTCGACGACGGCGTCGACGAAGCGGTCCGACTGCACGGCGAGGAGGCCGTCGGGGACGAGATCGATCAGGCTCGGCACATGTGGAGAGAGGTTCTCCTGGCGGAGAACGACTTTTGGCCCGAGGAGATGGAGGAGGGCGGTTTGCGAAGGGTTCCCTCTGCTTAAGAGACGCATGCGTTCATCACACATGCTTCAGCATCATGACGCGTCCCTCACGTCCAGATATGCAGTGAATTAACTATGCCATTACCCGATCCCGTGACCCTAGTAGCCAGAGCATCCCCCAGCTCAGTATCCGCGCCGCGAGCGCATGGTATTACCGCGGAATCCCAACGCCTATCGCTATGCTATAAAACGACCAAAGCAACCATGTCCTCCTCTTCATTATACAGAACCCAGCACTCAGACGGCAATCATCTGCGGTCCTCGCTCAGTCTGGTTCTCTCCCAACTCGTCGTCTCCATCCCCCGGCAGCGGCACAGACCGCGCCTGCGAGACATCTCCCTCGGCGACCGCCACCATAGTGCCGGCCACCGGCAACTCGTCATCATCTTCGTCTGCCGATACCTCCTTCACCGTGCAGGTAAAGGCGGGCTTCTCGACCTTTGGCGTCTCCTCGTCTGCTGCGTCCATGGCGTCTGCATCCTGAACAGTCTCTACAGCTGGAATCTCGGACGAGGGGATAATGTTTGGGTCGACACAATCGTAGAATAGCATAAAGACGTTACCTTGCGCCAGCAGCTCCTCTTCGTCAACCTTGCGGAGAGTGTCGTCGCTGAGACGCCACCAGTCCATCTCCGCATCGTCCTCCAGAGTCTCCGACTTGGGCGAGACAACCTCCTCGCCATCACTCGGCGGCGAGTGTCGGGGGAACTTGCGGTAGCAGACGTAGTGCCCGTTTTCGTGACGACCATAGTGCGTGACGACGGCCCGCAGCTCGTATATCGGCCCAGTAATGAATGACTTGCGCTTGTCGCCCGCAATCATTGAGGACCGCGGATCCAACAGCCACTGCTCCTCTTCCTCCAAGCCGTCAGCGGAACCCGTCTTGCTGGCACTACCCAAACACCACGGACCCAAGTCCAACGTCAGAGGGAACCGGATCCCCGACGAGTTCTTGTACATCATGCCAGTGTTCTCGTCAAACACGGACCTGTTCATGTGGACGGCGAGACTCTGCGGTGGCCGCGCAATGACGGCCTGCTTCGTCTTTGTTGACGAGACCTTGAAGTTTGAAGGGAACTTGCACTTTTCCGTGAGCGTCTTGTCCTCGAAATCGTCCTCTTCCAGCGCCTCCTCCACAGCCGACAGCCGCGACTTTGGCTCCTTGAGCTTCTGCTCGTCAGTGTACGACGCTTCTGCTCTCTCGACGAGGAGGGTCAGCAGCCTCTTGGCTTTCAGTAGCGTGCACTTTCCACACTCGACGCCCTCGATCGACTCAATATGGGCGTACGCGTCTAGAAGCTCGTACAGATCGTGGTCGTTGCCGCCCACATTCAAACTGAGCGTGAGGCAGTTGAAGGGGATCATGGAAAGGCCGTCAGAGTGTCCACACTCGACGCAGGCCACCCGCTGAGCAATGAGCCCCTCAAGGGGGTTCCGCAGAGACTTGGAAGCCGCGCTAATCTTGGAGGCCGTCGACAGACTCTGGTAGCCGCTGTCGTCGCTGTGCTGGCTCGTGGCAGTGTCGTCGCTGGCGCAGTCCGACTCGAAGCCCGACGACTTGATGGTCGCCTTAGCCACCTTTGCAATCTCCCTGTCCACCTCGTCGAGCAGCTTTGAAAAGTATTCCTGCGCATCCTGCTGCTGCCACGTGCTCATGTTCTTGAGGGAGCCTGGCGTCCATAACGTCTTGCCGTAGTTGCTAGCGCTGTTGAGGTCCTCAATCAGGTTCCGCAGCGTGTCGACGGCCTCGACTTTGCGGCGGTCGATCTCGGGGTCCTGGACAGGGTCGGCCAGGTACTTTGGAAACGGCTTGAGCGAGGCGAGCCCTTGGAGGATGCTGTTCTGGTAGCACGAGTTGTCGAGGTTCCCCAGGCCTGGCGGGTAGTTGCTGGAGCCCTTAAGGCTCATCATGGCCCCGGAGACGGACGACAGCCCTCGAATGCCGGCTTGCGAGACCGTCCCCATGATGCCTCCCTGTCTGTCCATGCCGAGAATCTTTTTCAGAAGCGCACTCTTGGCCGCATGTGTTCTGGCTTGGTTCTGGAGCATCGGCCGCGGAACGAGCGGCGGATGCAGCCAGGCTTCCAGAAGGGTCAAGGCGTCGTGGGGGATAAGCCAGACGATTACGTCCCAGAGGGTCCGAGAGGCGTGCGAGAGTAGGGTGGTCGGAAGGGAAGCGCCGAAAACAGAGACGAGCGCTGTGAGGACGAGGGCAAAGAGGGACACGACGACGCTCGGCTCCGTCAGCCTCGTCCAAATGGTCTCGTCGGCGTGAAGTCGTCGGTAGTAGTCGGGTCCGCCGTAGTGCTTGAATGCGGGAGAATTCATAGTCGGGATTGTATACGGGTGCTTGTGGGAGTTGGAGCTTCAGGCGAGCTTCTGCAATGCTATATCGGAGAGGCCACGCGCTGCCATGTCGAGAAGACGATTCGAAAGGTGTCCAGTCGTGGCGATGCTCGCTGATTAAGTGGTTGTGGGTGAGTAAGGCTCTGGAATGTCTGCACGGATGGTGTTGAGGCGTCGCGGCAGTGCTAGAAGGAAAGATGCCAAAGTTGAGCGGGACCAGGGGTTCCACAGGGGCAACGCTGCGACAAGGATTGGTCAGAGCGCGGTCCCAAGGCTTGTGATCGCCCCGCTTATCGTGATAAGATAGCGTGCAGGTCGATAAGGAATTTTATATCCCCCACACCGCGGCGAGTCTGGCGGTGCAGTCTACACCACAGAACTCGATACGATCGCAAAGATGGGCGCATCCAAGAAGAACAGACGTGAGCCTGCAGTCTCTCTTTTTACTATGACATCTTTCTAACATAAGCAGAACCCTCGCTCCACTCGAGAGCCGCAAGGCGGGCGACGGACGTCGACATCGACACCGACAAGTCTCTCAAGGAAGTCAAGGCCCCGGCCGCCGCGACCGACTTCCGGCCGTCGGTCCTCAACGCCCAGCACAACTCTGGCGTGTCCAAGAAGACCAAGAACCGCAAGGCGCAGATGAGCGCCAAGGCCAAGGAGAGGAAAGAAAAGGCGGCGGACCGCGCCGAGGCCATCATGGGGCGGACCTCGACCAAGACGGAGAAGAGCAAGGACAGGGCGCGGAGGGTCCAGACGCGGAGCAAGCAGTGGGAGGACATCAACAAGGGGGCCATTGCGGCCAAGAAGTTCCCCGACGAGGAGGATTCCGAGGTGGAGCAGAGGCAGACGAAGAGCAGGACCGTCGAGGTGGCTGCTGGCAAGGGCTGGGAGACGGATGAGGAGATGGACGGCGCTGATGATGATGTCGCCGCTGCGTCTGCGCCAGCTCCTCCTGTACCGGCACCTCCCCCAGCAAACGACGATTTCGACGAGGAGATTTTGTAGTCCGTTGTCAGTTTCGGTTCAGGTTGCCCAGAGAGGTGGTCCTCGGGCTATGAGACTCATGATAGATACCCAATGATGACCATTCTGCATGCAGGTCCTTGAAAGTTTTCGAAAGCCTCGACGCAAAGTGCATGCCGCCCTTCTGCCTCAGTCGGTCACAAATTTGGAAGTCTTGGAGGGGCCAAAAGCTCTGCGACAGCGCCAGGTCCACTAAAAACGCTAAACTTACAGGGCCACCCAGCGGGGAAACACTTGTGCAGTTCCGTCAATCCGCCAAGGGGACCTGAGGTGCCGTAACTTGCAGCCTCGATTTTCTGCCGGACGTCATCCAATTCACCATCCACGCCATCCACACAAACCACAAGATGCCACCCAAGCGCATGACCGCGAACCCGGTCAAGCCGGGACGCTACTTCCCCGGCAAGGCCGTCCCCCAAGAGGACTCATCAGAATCGGACGCGAGCGATGACGAAGAAAAGGCAAACGACGACACAAGCAAGGCCCGCGCGATCAAGCCGCCGCCAAAGGCATCGAGCGCCGCCAAGATCGCGAGCAACGTCAGCAAAGTCAACCTCGACGAACGGAGGCGCGAGGCGCAGGACAAGGAGAACCAGAGGATAGCGCGCGAGAAAGCGGAGCGGCTCGCTGCGGAAGAAGGTTTCGTCACAGAAGAAGAAGAAGAGGAAGAGGGAGAAGATGACGATGAAGGCGAAGAAGAAAGCTCCAGCGAGGAGGAAAGCAGCAGCGAAGAAGAAGCACCCCGCCGCCTCATGATTCGACCCAAATTCATCCCAAAAAACCAGCGCAACGCAGCAGCGGCAGCCGCCAAAGGACAGTCGTCCACCAAAGACGACGAGACGCGCCAGGCAGAAGAAGAAGCCCGCCGCAAAGCCGCCGCCGACGCCCTCGTCGAAGAACAAATCGCAAAGGACCTCGCCGCCCGCGCCGCCGGCAAAAAGCACTGGGACGACGACGAGGCCTCGGGCTCCGACGTCGACACGACAGACGACCTCGACCCGGAGGCCGAACTCGCAGCCTGGCGCCTCCGCGAGCTCAAGCGCGTCAAGCGCGAGCGCGACCGCATCGCCGAGCAAGAAGCAGAGTACGCCGAGCGCGAGAGGCGGCAGAACCTCACGCAAGAGGAGCGCGACGCCGAGGACGCGGACAAGATTGCCGCGCAGCAGGACGAAAAGGACGCCAAGGGCAAGATGTCGTATCTACAAAAGTACTACCACAAGGGCGCGTTCTACAGCGAGGAGGCGAAGGCGTACGGGCTAGATAAGCGCGATCTCATGGGCATGCGTATTGCGGATGATGTCAAGGATCGCAGCGCGCTGCCGGAATATCTGCAGAAGCGCGACATGACGAAGTTGGGACGCAAGGGCGGGACAAAGTACAAGGATCTCAAGAGCGAGGATACCGGACGATGGGGCGAGTTTGATGACCGGCGTGGCGGGGGTGGTGGTGGTGACCGGAGGAGAGGCGGCTTCGATAGGGATGTGGACGAGCGATTCCGGCCGGACAATGATCGTGAGGTTAACGGTGCCAACGCCATTCCCTTGGGTGACCGCAAGGCGCCTTCAGCTGGTGGTAGAAGTGATCGTGATAGGTATCGCGACGACAGAGACGACCGGCGCAGAGACCGGGACGACTACCGCCGTCGAGATCGGTCGAGGTCGAGGTCGCCGCGCCGCGACTCGCGGGACGACTACAGGGATAGGCGGAAGCGCAGCCCGTCACGCGAGAGAGAGCGCTACGACAGCGACAAGCGGAGGCGCGTGGACTCTAGATAAACCCACCATAAGAGAAAAGACACTGGTCGTCATTGCAAAATGTATTAAGAAGCGTATCCGGATCAGGCTCACTACGAGCGCATGCTGAATATACCCTCCCAACCAAACTCCGAGGCCTTGAAAGAAACCCTTTGCCATCGTAAACGTCATGCAGGTGCGCTTCAAATCTTCTTAATCTCCACCCTCGCGCGCTCAAACACGCCGTGGCTCACCATGGCCGCGGACTGGCCCGCGTCGGCTTTGGGAGGGAACAGCGTCAGGCGGGCGTACGTGCCGGCGCCGCGTCTCTTTGATAGGTAGCCCGGGTTGATCACGAGGACGCTCTCGACGACCTAACATTGTCAGTATGATCCCACAGTATACAGTCGACAGACTCACCTTGGCAAACGGGGGCAGGAAGCTGGGCGCCACGAGCACATCAGGGCGAACGTTGACCATCTCGCCCAGCTTCAAATAACTAAGATCCAGCATGGCACCAGGCGGGATGCCCTCCTCGGTCCCCGTCTTGGGCAGCTTCTGGCGGTCCGTCGGCGGGAAGAGCGGGAAAAAGTGCCTCTGCTCCAACAGGTACCTGCTAAGCCTCGACAACAGCGACGGATCCGCGGGGCGGCCGCCAACGAGCTCCTCGTGCCGCAGCTGCCAGAGAATATCCTGCGACGAGATGCCCATGACCATCTCGTTGACGGACAGCGTCATCGGGTTGGTGACGATCCTCGCCGTCTTGGGGAGGCCGAGCTCCTTCTTCAGGACCGAGTCCTGCGGCCACGAGACGTGCTTGTCGATGACGTCGCGCACCGAGGGGACGAGGAGGATGGTGATGCTGGGGTTGGCGGACACGAGGCGGTTCAGGGCCGGGGAGAACATGTACTTGAAGACGGTCGACATGGTGGCTGTGTCCGGCTCGATGACGGCTTCCTCGGGGAGGTCAAAGTCGCCCATCGCAATCAGAGGGTGCTCGCTGTCGATGAACGGCCCCGTCAGCACCAGTGCGTCCGCGTACGTGTCGGCGGCTTGGTCGCAGAGGGCGTGCAGCGGCTCAAAGTCGAGGTTGTCATCTGCCGTGTACGGACCGGAGGCGTAGAGAATGTTGAGGGGCGCCGGGTCTGCGTCGGTGTCCATGGCGTCGGGGTCGCCTCGTAGTTTCTCGCGGTGCGCAGCCAGTGCGGCCGGCGTCGAAGCCGCGTTGGGCAGAAGAGGCACTTCAAGCACATCCTCGACGACAAACTCGTTGCCCGAGGTGTTGATGCCCCTGAGGGCCACAATCTGGCCGGGGAAGAAGCTGTACCCCTTGTTGCGCATGTTAAGGGGCGCTCGCAGACCACCGCCCACCCGCCTCGACATCTCTAGCACCAGTGACGCCGCGTTCAGCTTTCCCTCTGGCGCATCCGAGGCGATGCGTCCCACGGCAATCACCTCTGTCGTGCTCTGACTCGCCGCGTTGCCGAATTCTGAAAAGTCCAACTTGTGGTAGTCCTGGATGATGTGCATAAACTCGTCTATCCTGTCGTCGAGGATCTCCGACGCCTCTGACAACTTCATCGCCAGGGGCTTGTACGCCAGCTTCTTCTGGTCTGACGCCGCCGTCAACTTGATGCGGGGTTCGGGGTACGGGCAAATCGGCGGCTCGGGAGCGTCGAGGTGGTCGTTGAGCACTTCCACCGTCTCGCCGGCGTTCTGTCGGTCGTTGAACGAGCTGGGTCTGCTATCGTCAGTGTCTGTGTGAAGGGTAGGGCCTGCGTTCCTACAGTGACATTGCGTTGAGCTGCTCCTCCATCTTGGAGGCGCCCTTGTAGTCTGGCGAGCTCGAGGGGATCTCGGCCTTGACCCGCGACATTGTCGGCGTCTCGTGCGTCTTCTTCCGCAGACTGCTCGGCTTGTTCAGCCTCCCTGAAGCCGGCGTACTGGGCACCAGTCCATCCAGCATGCCAAAGACGTCGCCGCCGCCTCTTCCGGCTCGCGGGGTGCCGTGACTGCGCTTCTCCGTCTTGATGTGCGTCTGCTGTCGGTTGCTCTTCTCTAGTGCGTCCTGGATATCCTTTTTGAAGTTTCGCACGTGCACAATGTCGGGGTTCATGGCGTCCATGTCCATCTTGATGCAGAAGGACTCCCATTTGTAAAAGAGGTCCTCGGCGGACAGGTCGTGCAGGCGCAATAGGGACTGCAGTTCGGTGAGAACTTCAGGCTCAAGAGCCTTGTCTCCCGAGGTGAAGAACTCCTTCAATTCCGCTTCCGCCATTGTTTCTGGTGCTGTTGTACGTGCCGTGAAGTTGAGCACCGGGAAGTTTGACGACGGAACATTTAGGTGGGACGCGACGAGCGCGTCTTGGTGGGATGGCGCGTAAAGTGTTGGCGGGGCATACAGTGTGGAGAAAATTGGCACGGTTTCGCGACGACACCTCGTGGACGAGCTTCTTGCCCGCTAGACTCTTGAGTTTGGTTCTTCTATCCGTACTTGGATACCTAAACGTGCTTCGCTACCACTCGCTGATGGCATCTCCCCAACAAACCCCTACCAGACAATATTGTTGCGAGCCCAGTCCTCCTGACGATCGGCCTCCTGCTGTGCCATGTAATCCTCCGTGGCCGATCTGGCCATCCGAGATGGAGCGAACTTGACGACGGCCTCCGTGCTGACCTCATACTTAACAGTACCGTCCTCGTGCTTGGCGCCGAGGTCCGCCATGCCTCCAGTGAGCTGGTCAAGGTAGGAGCGGTAGTTTTCGGACTTGCGGATGCTGCATCGGGTCGATTCCGACTCGGAGTGGGCGGTCAAGGACGACGCATCCCTGAAGTAGCGCAGGCAGCCGGGGCACTGCAGCTTGGCATTGTAGTGCGAGGCCGCCGACTTCATGTGGGTGATAAGAGCGCCGCTGTTGGGGAATGTCTTCCTGTTCTGGTGTCAGTATCTTGCCATGCGGTTAGGGAAGGGGCCACGAACTTGCAGGACGGCTGCGGACACTTATACTTGCGCGTGAGGGTGTTGTAGTACTTTCTAGGATCGAAGAGCCGGTGAGACGGATTGTTCACGTCGTCCACGACTGTCTTCTTGCCATCGTCTGACTGCTGAATGCTCTCCAGGCTCTCAGTGACATCCTTCAGATTGGGAAAGTCCTGGGGCTTGAAGAAGGACGGATGGGCCATGTAGGCCTTGTCGTCGAAATCGGACTGCGCGTCCACAGTGGATACGGCATCGAGGTTGGACTGCGCCTCGAAGGCGGACTGGACGCTGGGGTGGGACACGGGGAAGTAGTCTCCGAACTGGGAGCCGCTGCGCTTCTCGAGCTCGTGGGAAAAGGTGAGCTTCTTTGCGCGGTTCTGGTCGACGTCTGCGCGACGAATTCCCGGGCAGTCGTCATGCTCGAGGTGTCTCATCCACCCAGCCAACCGGACAAACTTCTTCTGACAGCCGGGGCAGGTGAGGCTCTGCTCCTGAGGGTGTGCCTGTTCTCGTTAGTCCATGTTCAGTGCTGGAGATCCGGTTGCACTCACCTCCAGAAGATGCTTGTTCAAGGCGTCCTGGCTGTTGAAGTCGCGGGTGCACACGGCGCAGTGGATGTGGGTTCCTTCGGTCAGCATCGCCATGCGCTTGTGTCCCATCAGCTCCTCGAAGCTGGGGAATCTCCGGTTGCAGACACTACAGAAGACGGCCTCATGGGGGGCCGGCTTGCGGATCAGAGGCCTGCTGGACGTGCCGCTGGTGACAGACATGGTGATTATTCGAAGCAGTGTGATTTGGAACGAGGGTGAATTTGAACGATTAGATCTTACTGAGACGAAGGTGGCAGGTCTTGTAATGAAGATGGTTCGCTGAATAGTCTCTGTGGCGGAGAGGAAAGATGGAAGAGATTCCGATGCCGCTGGTGATTTTATAAGCGAGAGGGTTTGGCTGCGTGCTGAAAAGGAAGGAGAGACGTAGGCAGAGGGAAGGAACGAGTCACTCTTGGCCCCTATTCAATGACGGGTGCGAATCTGTTCCGTCTCCTATAAATGCGTCTACTTCAGTTGCCAGGACCAAACGCAAAGGTCCACTCTACAAGTCGCGTCGGCGACGTCGTTTGGCGAGAGACAGCGCGTGTGTTGGCTAGCCATCGTCGTCAATGTGTATGGCTGTCTAGGGCCCATCTCTCGGCCAAGAAGTGGGAGCATCTCCGCCATCACAAGACACACCGACTTTGGACCATCAGGCGTCCTTGAACTATTCACCTTACGAATGAACCTTGAACATGGCCAAGCAGAGCCGAGCGACGATACTACGGAGACTTCGGTTCTTGGATCAACAAACACAACATAGATCTTCAAGAAATGGTAGCAGACCGACCCCTCGTTAACAGAGAACAAGACGTCTCCAAACACAACAACAGAGACTATGGGGAAAGGGATTCGAGCAGTCAATGCAGTTCTCATGAGATTTATATAGGATCCTCAGCCGAACCTTGTGCAGTTGGACCCCTCGTACATCTCGTGTCCAGAGTCCAGAGCTACGAGGAAACCAACTATGGATGGAAAAGCTGCTCGCTGGAACGATGAAAGATGGCACAGCTTCTTGGAAGCCTAGGTGCGTGAAATTGCTGCCCCCATTCTGCGTCTGGTTCTCGCTAATCTTTGTGGGCATCCCCAGAGTCGGGAAACTTGAACCGCAGGCTTTGGCTTTGGTCGTCATCAGTCGGAAAGCAATTTCTAATTAGACTACGGGAATTCCGACTATTGGACAAGTTGAAGATGTGTGGTGTGTCCAAACAACCTCGGACGGCGGATCATCAGAGCATCCTACGATCTGGCGGGAGAGGGGGAGCACACCTGTCCACACCAAGGCATCTGAGACTCTGCAAGAGCATTTAATCGCCTCCGAGCACATCTGCCCCTTGCCGCACCAGGACCAAATCCCGAGGCCCAAACTCGTCTTGGACATCCACGCCTTCACATGCTTCGTAGCATTGCAATCGAAGTTACGACCCCGGCACATATGTCTTGAACAGCCAAGCTTTGGAATCGCCATGTGTCGTCGAACTGGAATGCCGATGATGCCGGCCCTGTCTCGGGTGACTCAGATACAGGCCGTTTGAACCGCTCCCTGGGGTCGACGTTCCCAGTCTGCCAACCACCGAAATACAGTCAGCTGCAACGGCGAGACAGGAGTGTCTGAGACAGTCTGACGTTTCTTTGGCGTGACCTTTGCCATCCAGGCAAGCGAACCCCTCCACCTCACCCAGAAGCCCATGGCGGTCATCGAATACAGGGTTGCCACGAAGGAGTTCTTCAGGATGGCGGCTGTTCTGGGACGGACCTCTCATGCCGGACGCAGGCAAAGTACGAGACTCCTTTACATCGAAGCAGACATCGAGAACGCCACAGTGATGGCGTGAGTTGACGTGTAACCACGCCTTCCGCGCCTCGCCATGCAAGTGCCCAGATCACATCGATCCATCTATCCTATCCGAGACACTGCAACACCATCAAGTCAACTTAGAATACAAATAGGACTCATCACCTCGGTATCGCTCGCCAGCGCGCGCCTCATCCCTCGCCCAAAGATTACAAAATCTCTGCCGCCCATTCAGTGGCCCTCTCCACCAGAACAAAGGAAGGCCGCTCACCAGCCTCCGGCACTAACTTCGTCTGGACATACTTGATTCAAAGAACGAGCCCACCAGCCACTTGCTCCCACAGTTTCCGCGGAAAGACGACAATCGGGTGCGCAAATCTAGACCGGAACCCACCAAAGCAGCGTATTGCCGTTTGGCTATTCTTTTGGTGGCTTGATTCTGCGCCGGCAGCACCGCAGCCCCGGGTTCATCAACAAAGCCACCGGGTCGCTTTCTAGACAAAGTCGGCGATCTCTCTACCCGCTGGTCGACATTCCCGCTAGCCATTGAAGTTTGACCTGCCGGACTGAATAGTCTTAAGGAGAAGGTCCGCCCCTTTTCGCGCTGACGACCCGCCGCGAGGACCACGTACGAAAATAGGAGGTCGGAAACATCGGAGCCCCTATTCGAACATACAAATAGCAACCTCACGGCAAACCCGCACCTCAATTCACAATGTCCCTCACCCAAAAGCTCAAACGGGAGGCAACAAGCCGTCCCACCTGCGAAATGCCTCTCCCGTTCCTCCCCTTCGTCTTCCTCGCCCACTTTACCCAGACAATAACTTCCGTCCTCACCACGGAAGCCCACCGCACAACAGCGAGCCTCTCCAACCACCTCGAGGGCCTGCGCCTTCAGGTCCACGGGCCCGAACACACCTTCCACCCCTTCTCCCGGTTGCCAGCCGAGCTCCGCCTCAAAATCTGGCAGCACGCCTGCGACCACCCGCGGACGCTCCTCGCAACACATGCGCCGAACCCGACTTTACTTGCAGTGAACCGTGAGGCGCGGTACGAGGCCTTGCGGCGGTATACACTCGTCCGGCTAAACACCTGGGGCGACAGGCGTATCTACATCGATTTCTTGCGGGACAGCATCGCCGTCGTGGAGGGCAAGGGTGGCGGCGGATTCCCTGTTCGCGGGGCGAGGCACGTCATTGTCGTGTGCGAGGAGCCGTTTCGGAACCCGGGTTCGTGGTTGAAGTGTCGGTACCGGGCTGGGTTGGAGACCTTGACGCTGGTGCTGAGCGGGACGAAGACAGGCAGCAGGATTCCTGCGCCGCTTCCTGAGATCCGGGAGCTGTGTACGCCCGAGGAGGTTCAGCTGCGGCTCGGGTACTCGAAGGAGGAGGCGGATAGAATAGGAGAAGAAGTGAGAGGGTTGGCCGAGGGGTGGGGGAAGACGCGGATCCGCGTGGGGGGGTTCATCTGAGCTCCAGAGGCAGAGACAATAACGGAGACGGAGGACGAAGCGTAATGATCCATCGACACGACATCACAATACCCATTTCCATGTAGTCAATCTTCTTAATTCTAAACTCGTACACCATCCTACAAACCCTCAGAGCTTACTCCGTCCAAGATAAACCTCCCCGAGCCTCAACTGCTCAGCCGCCTCCTTCACCATCTCCTCCACAATCTCCCCCGCCGGCTGAATCCTATCAATCGCGCCCGCAACCTGCCCCATCAGATGCGGAATCTCAATGTCCTCCCGCCCCTGCTCGAAATCATGCTCAATCGGCACCGTCCCGCCCTCCGTCAACCGCTTAATCTCCTCCGGCCGCGCGTGCCACCCGCGGATATACTCATTCGTCTTCATCCTCAACGGCCGCCCGCTAATCACCAGCGTCCTCTCCGTCCCCTCGAACCCGCACGACACCACCTCCTCCTTGTGCTCCCGGCTACACCCCGCCTCCACGCTCGCCACGAACCGCGTGCCGACCCACACGCCGACGGCCCCCTGCATCAGCGAACTCGCCAGGCTGCGGCCGTTGTACATCCCGCCCGCGGCGATCACCAACGCCGTGGACCCCCCGAGCATGGGCGGCTTATACCGCCTCGCGACGTCCACCACCGCGGGGATGAGCACCGAGTTCGCCACGTCGCCCGTGTGTCCGCCCCCCTCGCCTCCCTGCGCGCAGATAATATCCACCCCCAAATCCAGCGCCTTCACAGCGTGCTTCGGATGCCCGACCATATTCATGACATAAATCCCCGCCGCGTGCAACCTCTCAATCACTTCTTTGGGGGGGACCCCCACCGCGCTCACAAACAACCGCGCGCCAGAGGCGATCGTAATGTCGATGAGCTCGTCGAGCTTGCCGCCCGTGTAGTCGTGGTTCGTCTTGCGCGCGTTCCCGCCGACCTGCGGCAGCGCGAGGTCCACGCCGAACGGCAAGTCGGGGGACTTGAAGTTGGCCTTCATCTCGGCGATGATCTCGCGGAGTTGGTCGGGGGTGTACTGGAAGCCGCCGATGACGCCTAGGCCGCCGGCGTTGGAGACGGCTGCTGCCAGGGGGCCGCCCGAGGTGCGGGCCATGCCGGCGAGGAGGATCGGGTGCTGGATGCCCAGGAGCTGGGTTATGGGTGTTGTGATGGGGCCGGAGGGTGCCATCTTGACTGTGGTCTGTCTTACACTGGTCTTGGCGAGGAGTTGTGCGGGTATTCGCTCTCTGGTTCTCAAATTGGCAAATGGCGCATAGAAGAAGCGTAAAGTGATGTACAAATGAAGAAAGCGCAACAAACAGCCAAGAGGTTGGGAATAAAAGGGAGCTCAATGACACGCCTGGAGCTAGTAGTCGAGCAGTCGTGCCGAAGCACCTAGGTAAATCCGGGGTGAAGAGTGTGGGGTTGGGGGGAGCTATTTGCGGGGAATTCACACCGAGGCAATTGCCTTGTTGGGACAGCAGCTCGCCCGCCCGTGACCCCGACCCCTACCTCCGGCCCCCGAGCGGCCTGAAACGGGCAACCACAGCGGCATATGAGTCGGCCATTCTCTGCTCCGTCCTCCGTCCGACCGTCCTTCCGTCATGGACAACAGGCCCAGCAGTCACGACATCACGGCACGAAGGGGGAAAACGGTCAAATTGAGTGCGCCGCGCCATGCACCGCTTCTATTGAAATGCTGCCCTCATCTCCTTGCATTGGTATCGTTATGACATGATTATCGTTGGCGTCGCCCAACTAGTATACAATAAGACCCACGTGGTACACGTCTCCTGGGCACTCTGGTCTATCGAAAGCTCGGTAGACGCGCCGGGACGAACTCCTCGGTCCGTATGTACTGCTCTTGCGTGGTGGACCGGATGACGGGCGCGTCGTCGCCGTGCGTAGACCTCGGCGGCGATCCTTGACTCGGAGAGTCTGACACGTAGTCCACCTCGTCACTTTTGGCGTAATCCACTTCGGACGCTGCCCGCTCCTCGGACGTCGGCTCCTCCCCAGCTTCGTGCAGCCCCCGTTGCGACGCAAGCTGCAGCGCCGCCTGCCGCTTGCGTTCGACCTCGTCGTCCTCCTCTCTCCTGATGCGCTCCTCTTCCCTCTGCAGCTCCTCCATCGAGGCCTCCATGGACGGCGCGACGGGCGTATCCGGCGTCGTGGGTCCGCTCGTCGAGCTCCGCCGCACGCTGGGACTGAGCATGGAATGGCTGGAATCGATCGTCGCCCTCGACACCGTCCGCGATATGGGCCGTCCGTCGGCCCGCCGCTTGCCCTTGCTCGCCTTTGTCCTACTGCTGCTGCGGTCGTCCCGGACCTTGTCCAGGACCATGAACTCGTCGTCAAACGGCACGGCGTCCTCCTCACCCTCGCCGTCGCTGGGGAACAAGTCGCCCCGTGACCGGTACGAATCCGACGACACCCCGGACCCCGTCGTCCCGCTGCGATTTCTAGTCTTGGCGGTCCGGCTCTGGAAGACGTCGTGGCCGTCGTTATCATCGTCGTCATCAGAATCGTGCGCAAGCAGCGGCTCCGTCTCGCCCATGCCCATCTCGCCGTGCTGCCGCGGGTGATCCTGCAAATCCGCCGCGCTCGGCTTGTAGCGGAGCGTCTTGCCCAGCTTCCACGGTAGCTTGCCCAGGAACCCAATGGGCTGCGTGCTGGGGATCACCGTCGGATCGGACTCGAGCGCCTTGCTCCCTCTGCCCCGCGTGCCGTAGCTCATGCCGCGTTTTCGTTTCGGTTGATCCTGCTGCACCTCGCCGCCCCCCGTGTTGTTCTTCTGCTGCGACCCCGTGCCCGCGAGCAGGCGGTCCCAGTCGTCGTTGCCCCAGCCGCCCAGGAACCCTCCGTCCTGGTCCTCGGCGTACCAGTCGTCGTAAAAGTCGAAGCTGTATTCGGCCCTCCCGCCCGCGCGATCTCGTTCCCGTCGCCTCCTCGCCCGCTCCTCGCGGTCGCCGAGACACGGGTTGGCGCATTGCTCCAGGGAGGCGGCGAGGGAGGCGAGACACGGGTTGATGTAGTGGTGCTGGAAGCTCCAGATGCCGGCGGCGGCGTTCTCCGTCACCTCGCCGGCGTTGTGGGAGATTTGGTTCCATCGCTGGCGCAGCCGCGGGTCCTCCAAGAAGGCCATGGTGGTGATGGCTGCTGCAGGGTGTCGAGGGATGACGTCGCGGGCATCAAGAAGGGAACCAAAGGGAAGGAAGCGGATTTTTAAACGATCGGCGCGGCCTCGACCCGGGGTGCAAGCAAAGGGCAAATGTCGAGGCCCTCGTTATCGAATTGCTGGTGATGGATATTCAGTTGAAGAAAAGTCCAGAGGCGAAGGGAGCCATGGGACGTGGATTGGGCGAGTAACGGTTGGTTTCAAGTGCGCCGGAAACAAAAGGCAGCCTCACCTCAGCTGTCAAAAGTTGGGCTCAACATTCCGCTGGTTGCAGCAGGCGGGCGCGGGCGCGGGCGCAGGCGCAGGCGTAGGCGTAGGCAGTCAGGGTGGCACTCCCTCGGGGGCCCTTGGGGTTCGCTGCAGCTGCGGGTGCGGGTGCTGATGCAAGCCCATTGCAGTGGACTTTCGGATTGTCAAGGTCCATGGGCCATGGCAGGTGCGTTGGCACTATCTGTGGCTGGTGGCCCCTTATCGCAGACTTTCCGGACGGATAAGGCACCCCCAAGGCACCTTTTGGTGGGATTGACTTTGTGGATCCGGGGAAATTGCAGACCTCCCGCCAGGTTGCTGACCAACTGTGGCTTAGCCTCTGGTGAGACCCCTGGAGATCGACGTCACCCCTTCAAGGTATCGGGAATGCATCGTCACTTATAAACTTTGGGCCTCGCAACATTTGACTTTGGGGTACAGTCCCCGAGACTCTGTAAACTCTGCCAAACAAAAGCACGTGGAGATTGATTGTATTCCGAAGCACTACAGACGCCGAACGCTGCTAATCTAGACAGAGCTTGCCAAGGACCATCATCATCTCAACCCCTGTGCTTGTTTGCTCGTAGAAATCATGACGGCTATGCCCCTCGAGCCAGTCAAACCCATTGAAAGAGGTCAATGAGTGCCAGGCCAAGAATGCAGAGCACAAAGGTCCTAAGAGAAGACCGACAAAAGCGCATTCATCTTTGCCTGGCAGAAATGCGGAACTCGTGAAAGGACACGGCCAGTCTTCTGCTTGAGAGACACGTGCTTCTTCTTGTGATGCCACATGGGCAAGATGGCGGCCGTCTCGCTGGTGGACTGGGCATCGAACACAGGCCCCACCGGTGTAGCCCCCGAAACGCTCTGTCCGGATTCCTAGTGGCCGTTCGTTGCAGCTTGGGGTACTGGTGGTCTCTCTGGACCGTAGGGTCTGGGGGGTTCTGGCTCTCCAGGCTGGGGCTCCTCCTCCGTATCATCGTCAAACTCGCTCGGATCCTCCTCGCCCTCCTCCTCCTCGTCCGAGTAGTCGCTGCCGTCCCCGTCCATGTGGCCGTTGCTGTCCGAGTAGCAACTCTCCAGTGTCGCCGCTGCTCCGGGCGGAACCTTGCGGCCCTGCTGCTGCATCTGCTCGATAATGCTCCTAAGCTTCTCGGCTCTCTTGATCGCCTCGGCCGCCTTCTTGCGCCAGTCCTCGCGCTCCTCGGCCATGCGGATGATGTTGGCATTCGTTGCCTCGTGCTTGCGCTTCATCGTCTCGTTCTCCTTCTCCAGCCGCTTCGTCTTCTTGGACATGTCCTCCATTTCCTTCCGAAACGTGAGAAAGAGGTCGTTGCTGTTGTTGAGCGTGTCCTCAACCTTGATCTGTCAGCAAAAGCTCAGCCCAAACCTCTGCAACTTTTCATCAGTCATCATACCTGCTTGAACTTGTCAACGTAGACGTTGAGTTGATTCCGAAGCTCCGTCTCCGTCTTGGTAAAGGTCTGGACCTGCGCCTGGAGATTCCGCGCTCTCGTCGACTCGGCCTCTGCGAGCTTCTTCTCTCGTTCGTAGCGCGCCATGTTGTATTGCACCTCCAGCTCCTTGGTGCGCATCGTGGAGTGGAAGTGCAGCTCACGCAACTCGTACTGCTCAATGAAGGACTTGAACCGGTTCTTGAATCTGCAAGGGGTTAGTCCAGCGCAACAACGACGGCAAGTGACATACAAGGTGTCAACGCTCATGTCCACAACCTGCTTCCGCGGATGGTCCTTTTCTTCTTGAATCCCCTCCAGCTTGGCAAGCAGGGCCGCGTGCTTCTCATCGTACGCAGAGCTGTTGTGCTTCAGGTTGTCCTGGAGGGTCTTGTTCTCGTTCTAGGCACACAAGGTCAGCCGTGCCCCGTCCGCTGGCGAAGGGGGCCGCAAACCTTGTACTTGTTGTTGTCCCGCTGCAGTTCGCGACAGAGCTTCTCGAGCTTCTCCTTCAGGCCGACCGTCTTGCTCAGCTCGGTGCGATTCGCATCCTTTTCCTTTTGCAGGGCGTCTCCACGTTTCTTGTTCTTCTGGTTCTCGCGCTCCACACGGCGCATGTCGGCTAGCAGTTCGCTGGACCGACGGGTGAGGTGCTCAATCTTTTGCAGATCGCTCATCTTTGCCACCTGTTGGGCCAAATCGCGGTTCGCACGCTTGACCTCGCGCTCTGTTGCCGTTAGCCCCGCCACTGCAGAAATAGAACCCCACGAACCGCCAGCACGAGAGGCTCCCGCCTGCGCCTGATCATGACCATGACCATGACCGTGACCGTGATCATCGTGGCCATGACCTTCGCAGACTTGGGCAAACGCGCGACTCGGCCCCTCCGGCCTCCAGGAGGGGTAAGGCACGATGGGAGGCGGTACGCACCAATCTCAGCTTCCTGATCCTTCTCTCCAGCTGATTCTTGCTCTAGCTGCGAGATGCGTTGCGCGAGCAGCTTTGCAGACTCGTTCGAGTCGACCGCCTTCTTCTGCTTTCCCTTCTTCAGGGACGCCGGCGGGTGGGCGTGACCATCTTGACCGTTGGACATGTCGGCGTCGGCCTGGCTGAGGGGCATTTACTCGGAGGGCAGGAGGGGTAGCGGTTGTATGTGTTCCTTCCGTGTCGTCGGCGACGAATTCGCATCCGAGTTCGATCGATCGAGCGGGTCGGCGTCGCAAAAACGAGTCGTCGTGGGCGTCAAGTCGGGTCCCTGGTTTCCCCGCGGCAGTCTCAACCGCAATGTTCGGAGCCAGCAGTCGGTTCGTGTGCTCTCGTCGTCGGTTTCCCCTTCATTGACCTCCTTTGCAGATTTTCGATGTTGGACGGAACGACGGGCTAGGGTGAGGTGCCTTAGGGTGTGGTAGGTAGCGTGGTGTCTGCGTGGTTCAGGCGTGCGCATTAGAAATGCCACTGTTCTCGAGAAAAACGGGTGGAAGAGAGACTTGCTGCAGGCCTCGTTCGTACCTACCCGTCGAGTACCTTGGGTCAGGGCGGGCAAAGGTCCAAGTACGGATAATCAATCCGGATACCGATATATTGGGTAGAGTCCGCAGTAAGAAAACGAATTGCCTACGATCCCACTGGTCGCCTTTTGGAATTCGCGATTTCCCAATTTCCGTTGGCGGGCGTGGAAGGGAGGAGAATAAAGTGCACCTGGAAAGGGCGATGGAGGTACTTGCCTAGCGGACGACGTGCCAATCTACCGGGCGGCGTCGCTGTTGTCGGTTGCACCGCGTTAGCTGCTCGTTAATGCGTTACGCAGGCCCAGGCCCAGGCCCACTGACCCGGTAGTGCCTCAGAGAGCGTTTTGGTGAATGCGGACCCCACATGCCCTGTGTGATGACGAATAGCGGCAGGCCAGCACCAACAACGCCTAAAAATTTCCAGCCAGAAGCCAGCCGAAAGCTGCGAATCGCCTCCCGCTCCACAGTGGCTCCTCGACCGTAGGCCGTTCAGTCATTCTTAGAACGAAGCTCCCGTCTTCTTCTCCCTCCGGAACGAGGCTCTGATCCTCTGCAAACAACTCCCACTCGTCAACATGCTGCGCAACGCCGTCAACACGGCCAAGAAAGCCGTGACCGAGCTCTCCCAGTACCCCAAGCCCGGCGACAAGCTCCATGGCTTCACACTCCTGAGGACAAAGCACGTGCCGGAGCTGGAGCTGACGGCTCTTCACCTGCAACACGACAAGACTGGCGCAGACTACCTACACATTGCCCGCGACGACAGCAACAATGTCTTCTCCATCGGCTTCAAGACGAACCCTCCCGACGACACGGGTGTGCCCCATATCCTGGAGCACACCACGCTGTGCGGCAGTCAGAGGTGTGTTCACTGTGCCCTACATGCCTTACCCTGCTGACCATCTAGATATCCCATTCGCGATCCCTTCTTCAAGATGCTGCCGAGGACGCTGTCCAATTTCATGAACGCCTTCACGGCATCGGACCACACCTTTTACCCGTTTGCGACAACCAACTCCCAGGACTTTAAGAACCTCATGTCGGTATACATGGACGCGACACTGCATCCGCTGCTCAAGGAGTCCGACTACACCCAGGAGGGATGGCGCATCGGGCCGGAGAACCCGCAGGCCGCCAACGGCGAGGAGAGTGACCTCGTTTTCAAGGGCGTCGTCTACAACGAGATGAAGGGCCAGATGTCGGACGCCGGCTACCTGTTCTACATTCGGTTCCAGGACCACATCTTCCCCGATATCAACAACTCTGGCGGCGACCCGCAAAAGATCACCGACCTAACGTACGAGCAGCTGCGCAAGTTCCACGCGGAGCACTACCACCCGAGCAACGCGAAGCTGTTCACGTACGGAGACATGCCCCTGTCGGACCACCTGCAAGAGGTCAACGCCCAGCTCAGCGCGTTCGAGAGGATACAGGAGGACAAGACGATTCACCAGCCGATCAATCTGGCCTCCGGGCCTAGGGAGGTCACCGTGAAGGGCCCTCTCGACCCCCTGGTAGACCCCGATAGGCAGTACAAGACGTCCGTCTCGTGGATCATGGGAGACTCGTCCGACGTTGTCGAGTCCTTTTCCCTGGCGCTGCTCTCTACTCTGTTGATGGACGGCTACGGATCTCCCCTGTACCGCGGGCTGATCGAGGCTGGTCTCGGCACAGACTTTAGCCCCAACGCCGGCTACGACAGCTCCGCCAAACTGGGCATCTTCTCCATCGGCTTGACCGGCGTCCAGGAGGCCGACGTGCCCAAGCTCAAGGCCGAAGTTCAGCGCATCCTCCAGGAAGTCCGGCAAAAGGGGTTCGACAGAACAAAGATTGACGGATCCCTCCACCAGCTGGAGCTGGCGTTGAAGCACAAGACGGCCAACTTTGGCATGTCGATGCTCCACAGACTCAAGCCCAAGTGGTTCACGGGCGTCGACCCCTTTGACTCGTTGGCGTGGAACGACACCATTTCGGCCTTTGAGACTGCGCTCGCCAAGGGCGGGTACCTGGAAAGCCTGATTGACAAGTACCTGTTGAACGACAACACCCTGTCCTTCACCATGTCGCCGTCAACCACGTTTAGCGAAGACCTCGCGCGCGAGGAGAAGGAGAGGCTGGCGTCCAAGATCAAGCAGGCTTCCCAGGAAGCTGGCGGCGACGAGGCGGCCCGCAAGAAGTTTGAGCAGCGCGAGCTGGACCTCCTCGTCGAGCAGGGCAAGTCCAACACGGAAGACCTGAGCTGTCTGCCGACGGTCCACGTCAAGGACATCCCCCGAAGCAAGGAGCCCGTGGTTGTGCGCGACGAGACGGCCAACGGCGTCAAGATCCAGTGGCGCGAGGCCCCGACTAACGGCCTCACCTACTTCAGAGCCATCAACAGCCTGGAGAACCTGCCAGACGAGCTCAGAGAGTTAATCCCCCTCTTCTCCGACAGCATCATGCGGCTCGGCACCAAGGACATGTCCATGGAGCAGCTCGAGGACCTGATCAAGCTCAAGACGGGAGGCGTGTCTGTCGGGTACCACTCGACGCCCTCGCCCACCGACTTCCACCAGGCGAGCGAGGGGCTGATGTTTACGGGCATGGCGCTGGACAGAAACGTCCCCGTTATGTTTGACATATTGCGCAAGCTCGTGCAAGACACGGATTTCGACAGCCCGGAGGCCGCCCTGCGCATCAGACAGCTGCTCCAGGCATCTGCCGACGGCGTGGTCAACGATATTGCCTCGTCCGGCCACCAGTACGCCCGCGGGTTCGCGGAAGCCGGACTCACGCGGAACGCCTGGTTCAGACAGCAGATTGGCGGCCTCTCGCAGGTCAAGCTCGTCACGTCGCTTGCCAATCGTCCCGAAACGGATGGTCTGGCGGACGTCATTGACAAGCTCAAGCAGATCCAGAAATTCGCGCTCGCCGGTGGTAACTTCCGCACCGCGCTCACCTGCGGGGCAGAGAGCACGGGCGCCAACCTCAACGCCCTGACTAGCTTCATGTCGACCCTCCCCAAGGACCTGCCCCTGCCGTCGACCCAGAAGCCAGCGACGCTGCAGAAGAACATCAAGTCCTTCTTCCCGTTACCGTACCAGGTCTATTACGGTTCGCTGGCGGTGCCCACCGTCTCGTACACGCATGCCGATGGCGCGCCGCTGCAGATCCTGGCGCAGCTCCTCACGCACAAGCACCTCCACCACGAGATCCGCGAAAAGGGCGGCGCCTACGGCGGCGGGGCGTACTCGAGGGGACTGGACGGCCTCTTTGGGTTCTACTCGTACCGCGACCCCAACCCGCAGAACACACTCTCCATCATGCGCAACGCCGGCCGCTGGGCCGCGGACAAGGCGTGGGCGGACCGCGACCTCGAGGAGGCCAAGATTTCCGTATTCCAGGGCGTCGACGCGCCCCAGTCGGTCAACTCGGAGGGCATGGGCCGGTTCACGTCCGGCATCACAGAGGAGATGAAGCAGACGCGCCGCGAGCAGCTGCTTGACGTCTCCAAGGACCAGGTGCGCGAGGTGGCGCAAAAGTATATTGTCGAGGCCCTCGCCAAGGAGGAGGAGAGAGTCGCCTTCTTGGGCGAGAAGCGCCCGTGGGTGGACGGCACCTGGAAGATTCACGAGATGGACATTGGTTCCGAGTGAGCCGTACGCGACCGGTTTGTACCATAGAGATCGTAGAAAGGGGGAAACCCTTCCGGTCAGATCTGTAACCATATCTGTACAGCACCCATGTTGTAACATTATACCCACCTCCTGAATAGAAGCAACTGTATGAGGTCTTTCCTGTCTGTCTGTCCTTTTCTTCTTCTAGCCTAGACACCTACCGACGCGTTCAGATACGATACGTCTTCCTGCCACTTCTCAATGGCTTGGAGACCACTAGACAACGCAAGACGAAGGAAACTATCTTGAGCCAGGGTAGCCTTTACGATTCGTACGGGATAACCGGCTCAAGAAAAAGGCTCGTGCTATCAGACCCGGCATCCTCAGCTTTGGATCGTCGGACTAAGGCGCAGAGTACATGCGACGTTGATGTTGCTGGTGAGGCCTGGGGTACTTCATTGGTATGCGGCGGGAGACAGAGAGATGGAGAGCCAATCAAGTGCAGCCAATCACACGCCAGCAAATCCAAGCAGATTGACTAAACGGGAGATGCTCGGGATGGACTACGGAATATAATATGGGCAAAAATGAGAGAAGAATGGGAGAGAATACAATTGGCTCACAAGAGAGAGAATGCCCCGCATACGTCACCTCCAAGGCACAGCGCCACAATTGTATTGGTTTTTTTTCTTCTTCTCGAGATTCTGGGCCATAATGCAATGGAAGTTTGAATTTCGACTTTGGGACTGCGGCTCGTGGAAAGGCTTGGGGTCGCCGGGGGGGCATCCCGAGTGGATGTTCAACGGGAGGCAGCCCAGAGACAACTTGGGACTTGGAGGGGGATTCTACCAGTAGGCGGGTGAGCAGTGCCGTGACTATGCGCCGGTGAGATTTAGAACATGGTGTGCGGGAGAGGCACATGCTTCTGGGCTCCCGATACTGCCGTACGGTAGAGGTGTGCCGGCTGTCTCTCTTTGCCGTGATTTCGTCCAAAGCGGGCGGCCGTCTGGGTAGACGGTGCGGTGACAGACAGAGTGCCATCGACAGTCAGCGATTTGTGACAGAAGCTGAACCGGCTGCCCGTACATGTGCTGCTTTGGACGAGTGGCATGGCATGGGGGAAAGAATCGGGCTCATTCTGGCAACTGTCCGAGTGGAACACTGCGTTGAGGGAATTTCTTTCCCTTCAGAACTAAGGTTGGAACACAGGTTCGCAAGCGAGACACAGGCATAGACGGCGGTCTGGACGGGACGGGACCGGTCTCGTTACTTTTGCCAACACGGGCGAGGTATTCCGTTTGTCAAGCAGCTGCCAACTTGGTGTTGTTGTTGTTGCCCTCTTGGTCGTGGAGATGCGGCGTTTGAAACGGATAGTTAGGGTTGATTGTCTCCATCACACCCACAACTACAACAACCAACGCCGAGTCTACGGGAAACTTGGAAGAAACACCGGGTACTAGCAGACTAGGCCGTCAAGTTAACAGCAGGCGTGAAAAGGCTAAAGCTACCTAGTGAAAGCTGGGGCAAGGGAAATGGAAATGGAACCGGAGGGGCGGGCGGGCGCGAGGATGACAGCGAGACTACGGAGTACTGATGTACTGATGTCCTGGACTCCAGACTGGTGCTTCTCGAACTGGGAAAACGCGTAAAGTTGCGGTCTGGGAAATTTACCGATGGGTCAGCGTGATCGTGATGGGCACGCGAGGCAGTGGTGGCTAGACGCAAGTTTGGTAGTTGCAACACGGTCCTGCATGAGATTGACAGAGAGAAGAAGATCAGAGACGGTCAAACAGGCACTGGGCTATTTGGCACATGGGACATGGAATTGGAACACGGGGGACAGCAGCTGCGTGGTGGTGGTGGTGGTGGTGGGCTGCGGTGAATCGTGATGCATGGCAGATGGAGCTGCAAGCAAGCAAAGACGGCAGCAGCAGCAAGCAACGAATTCGTAATGGTGGAGGAATTCCCAGCCATAGCCAGCCCTCCAAGTTGAGGCCTTCCACATCCACACCTGCTGGGATCTGTGCTTCGTAGACTCTGGGAGGATTTCCCGATGGAAGCCCTGCAGAGCGATGGCTCTGGGACTGCTGGGAGAGGGACATCCACTGCGGTACCTCGCTCTGCATGTTCCGGTGTCTGAGCTGCAGGGGTGACACCGTGACGGAGGGGGATGTACTCCATACATGACCTCACGCTGAAGAATGGGCAAACGAGAAGGTATCCAGACTCTGGGCTGGAGGCTGGACTCTGGACCTTTGGTGGGATCAATGGAGACGGCTCCCCTGGACAGTTGGACCGGGTACAATTTGGAACCTGCTGTGCTCGAGACTTTACTTTTCGGACCGTTGTTTGTTGGGCTTCAGGCTTCAACTTGTTTGAATGGGACGGATATTGAAACTGGGTACGACGGGTACTTGGCGGGCGAGCATCATTATGGAGACGGCTTGAACCTTGCCGTCAAGTACCTCGCCTTCCATCAGCACTTGAACACCAGACGTACTTCGTACGCAGCAGCATCCGGGCAGGGAAAATTTTGAAAATTTGTGGGCAGGTTGTGCTGTTGACAGTCGTGGGCTGTGGGTGGCCAACCTCGCAGCCCGGCTCCACTAATAAGGTACCAAAAAGAACCTGAGGAAGACAGACGAAACCCTCCTCCAGGCTCCGGGGCCTCCACGGCCGTCGCAATAAAAAACAGTCCCCCCCCGCCACACACTTACCTCCCGGGACACCAAACCAAAGGTTCATCGTCAACCCGCACCACGCAACAGCTCCCGCTATTCGCAACATTGCAATTGTTATCCAGATACAGCTGCCTGGACATTTCGGTTTCGACCCTTTCGTCCGGTTTCTTTGTCTACTTGGTGAGTCAAGTCCCGACTGTTTTAAACGGATCCCGCGCGGTGGCGCATCTTCCCGAGCAATCACATGGCATCGTCATCGCCAGCTTTTTTGCACCGCCAGCTTTGGGAAAAACCTACCTACACGCATTTGGCCCAAAACCACCACACAAAATAAAATCGCTCTCACAACAAACCGCATTTCCCCCTTTCAGCACCACAACCACAACCAGCACAACCGCATAAACCGCGCATACAAGGAATCCTTTGCTAACCAAGTGCATCGTCTGTCCAGATCTATAAGATCAACCCCTTTCACCGCCAGACTTAGCCTTTGGTCAACTCAAAGGCACCACAGCCCAACACGGCTTCTCTGGCCGTGAGCTTCGTCAGTGACCAAGATTTCAGCGTACGAAAGACTCGACACATTGTCAACGCCATCCCCCCTCCACCGCCTGCAGTCGTCTAAGCAGAAGCTCGAGTTCTTCCTTCTCGACGGTTTGCTTCACCAGACGCCCCCGTCCAACCCCACCCCCAACCAGCTGCCGCATAAGACGGGCTCTGCAGCTCTTCCTCTCGCCGAGGGGGAGTCGAGAAGACCTCGTCAGATCACTGAGGGATCTGTCTGCTACCGCTTTCGACCACCCTAGAACTCTCGTGTTGTTCTAGCTTTTCATCTACCTAGGGAACAGTATCAAGACTTTGATTCTGCCCACGCGTCGAAACACAGACCGACCAACCACCCACACACCTCTCTTCAACTAATCACCACCACCCCGTCAACCGCTTGGATATGGTTATGGCAACAGCCGCGATCGAGCACTTTGCACCAGCTACTATCAATTATGCTAGTACCTACCACCAACCGATCCTCAAAACATCGCACTTTGCCGATCGCCCCGTCAAACATGGAGTGATCAACCCCAAGCAGCTGATTGGCGATGCTCTCCGCCAGCGTGTCGAGAGCATCGACCATGAGATTTGTGAACCAGGCGACGAAGACACCTTCTTCGTCGGTGATCTCGGCGAGGTCTACCGCCAGCACATGCGCTGGAAGCTCAACCTGCCCCGCGTCAAGCCCTTTTATGGTGAGTCCCCTGGCATCCCCCCCGAGACGTTCCTCACTAACCCACGCAGCCGTCAAGTGCAACCCCGACCCCAAGGTCCTGCAGCTCCTCGCTGCCCTCGGCACCGGCTTCGACTGCGCCTCCAAGACGGAGATTGACCAGGTCCTCAGCATGGGCACCGCCCCGGAGCGCATCATCTACGCCCAGCCCTGCAAGACCAACTCGTACGTCCGCCACGTCAAGGCCATGGGCGTCAAGCAAATGACCTTTGACAACGCCGACGAGCTGCGCAAGATCGCCAAGCTCTTCCCCGAGGCCGAGCTGTACCTCCGCATCATGACCGACGACGAGTCGAGCCTGTGCCGCCTGAGCATGAAGTTCGGCGCCGCAAAGGAGGCCACCAACGAGCTCCTCGGCGTCGCAAAGGACCTCGGCCTCAACGTCGTCGGCGTCAGCTTCCACGTCGGCTCCGGTGCCTCCGACCCCATGGCCTTCTACAAGGCCGTCTACGACGCCTACGAGGTCTTTGAGCAAGCAAGCGCCTACGGCTTCGAGATGAAGACGCTCGACATTGGCGGCGGCTTTTGCGGCGACACCTTTGAGGACATGGCCGCCGTCCTCCGCGGCGCCCTCGACGAGTACTTCCCCGCCAGCAGCAACGTCAACATCATTGCCGAGCCGGGCCGCTACTACGTCTCGGCCGCCTTCACCATTGCCTGCAACATCATCGCCCGCCGCACCGTCGACGACCCGTCCCTCGGCGAGAAGCGCTACATGGTCTACGTCAACGACGGCCTCTACGGCAACTTCTCCAGCATCATGTTTGACCACCAGCACCCCGTCGCCAAGGTCCTCCGCGCCGGCCCCGTCACAATGTACGACACCGGCGCCGCCAACGCCTGCCCGGACGGCGAGGGCATCCGCTACTCCGTCTGGGGCCCCACCTGCGACGGCATCGACCGCATCACCGAGACCATCTCGTTTGAGCACGAGCTCGACGTCGGCGACTGGCTCTACTTTGAGGACATGGGCGCCTACACCAAATGCTCCGCCACAAAGTTCAACGGCTTCCCCGACTCGCACGACGTTTTGTACGTCTGCAGTGAGCCCGGCGCCAAGGCCCTGCTCAACATGT